TATCTTCTGAGGACTCATTGAGCTCGTAATGCCATCCCTCTTGTTGGAATATTTGTACATCATTTACACAACGTGGGAAAAAAACAGCATCCAGATGTACATCCACCAGATTGTAAAAGTCCTATATCCAGCAATATCGAACACAGCACACCACGTCAGCAAAAACAGTTTTTACCCAAGATCTCGCCTGCTTAATCAACAGCGAATGAGAAGGAACTCGTAAGAGCGTCAATGGTCCGTGTCTCTAACAGCAACTGATAGACTTAGCCTCGACACTGCACTAGGATCACAGAAGTATAAAAACCAACAAAACAGAGGGTTAGGTGTACGTAATATTATATTACCTCATTAATCTAAAAGAACGCTAAAACATACCTGTAAATTGGTCGAAGCTACACGAAAGCAAGTCCGATCCATCTCCATGCTCCTCTTTGCGTAGGCATCTAAACTGCTCTTGAAAAGTTCTCCAACGGGATTTTTCAACGGGTATTTCCTAGACCCACACATAACACTGCGCTGTAGGATGTGGGGGATCCCAAGAGAATCTTGACTGCACAAAAGAATCAAAAGTACGTCACACCATAGTGCTCATAAGAGAGCTTGCAGATCGGTAAGAGAATGGTGAAAACAAAACGATAACACATTCTGAAAAACAACTTGCATGCAAACGCACTTAGTCAAAAGTAGGCCCATGTATGTTGGAAGAAAGTGACTTACGCTGGTGTTCTGAAGACAATTCCAAATACTTTTTTCTCATCGCTATTTGACACAGACATAATTTCAGCTCCGGTTTTCTTGTGTCGATAGAGAATTGCTGTCGAGTTGTACTCGTCTATGAACTGCTCGCTAATTACCTCATAACCTTGTTGCTTCGCCATTTCTGGATTCGCTCCTGCAGTAGAAGCAACCACAATCAAGAAATCATGCGCTGATCCAGGTACATAGGGCGGAGAGTCTACCACTTCTAATTGAACCTCAGCCTGCTCGCAGGGTTTAGGAGATAGCATCCTTATCACAGTTCGAATTATCTGAACGATGCACCTTACTAGTATAAAACTGGTCGAGAGTAATTGTCATTTCCAATAAAGAAAACCCACGAAGAGTCTGTGACAGCAGCAACTTAAAAATCTTCAAGGCAGCGTGATCTGCATTCTCGGACCTTGAAGGGCACAAAATCTTTGACCCCCATTCAAAAACCACGAAATCTGAACGCGGAATTCAGCTGGGGGCAAAAACTTCCACTCGCCCCGAAAATTCTTCATTTCATGAGCGACTTCGAAATTCGATCAGAAAAATAAAATTACAGAAATTGGACACACTTACCAACTTTGGGAGTGGGGGCAGTGAGAACTGCCTGGGGGGCGGACGACAACCCTCTCTTCGGTCCGAGGGAATCCTTGCGTGAAGCTTCGAATGACCGCACCAAAGGTATCGAGAAAGACCTCAAACCCTGCCATCCCAAATTTCTGAGGACCACTTACGCCCTTTTGAATCGTGAACGCGGCCTCGATCTTGCCGCAAGCTCCACAAGTCAGCTGGCGAAGAGGCCGGGGAACGGAAGCGGTCACAGCAAGGAGACTCATGTGCGCAGCGCGAGGCACTGATCGTGCCAAAATTCCTTGGGCGTCCATGCCTGCGCCTCCCCCTGTCAAGATTGCCTCTGTCAGAATTCGGGACCGGCGTGATGTAGGATGCCGCTCGCCCTCGGAACTTCAGTGTTTCGTTCCCGATCTTTCCTCTGCCCAAGAGGCCAAGATTCGCCGAAAGTCCTCCGTTCCCCCCTTGACGAGGTATGGTACTAACTATGGCAGGCTCTATTTCGAATTAGCAATTTCGCCCGAATTTTCAATGGTGGATGAGCAGACCAATGGCTGTATGGATTAGAGTTCGGTCGGGAAATATTAAGTTGCTCTTTCCTTTTTCTTTTCTTTTTGAGACAAATGGTGACATTTCCATTGCAAGAGTGAAAATACATCATCACCGCAAAACCTGGCAAGGTGAAACTCGCCGGCGATACCTTTATAAAAAATTTTCGACCTAATAATACATAGACAAACGCTGATTACCTAAACACCCCACACACTGGCCGAATGTAATTCCAGTGAATGGAATCTCCCTGATGAGAGCAAAGGGTGGCAGTGCTGGCCCAACACCTGCAGAGTGCGAGCCGCGCTTTTTGGCCCGCCTGGGGCTGCTGGCGACTGAGCGAGATGGAGCGATCCGAAGCCATTCTGGCTAAGTCCAGCACGGCATCCCAGATCGAGCTTTCCAGCTGAGGGGTCGGCCAGGTCGCATTTTGAAAGACCTGAGCGTCTCGCCGCAGCCAGAGGACCCAGAGCACCGAACCACGAAGAAGCGACCACGTTCGCTGGAAGCCTAGCAGGTGGGCCGGTAAGTCCATGCCGAGAAGGCATTGCTCCCACGTAAGTCGCGGCCAGGGCATGTTAGTACGAGAGATCCCTGCGAGGAGATCGAGGACGGTACCTGCGAACTCCCAGCAGCTTGGGCCGCCGCACATTCAAAGAATGCATGGTGGATGCACTCCGGCACATCTCGATCCGACGACGTGACGCCATTGGTTGACTGCAATAGCCTTACTGTACACACTCCACATGAAGGCGGCCTCGTTACGAGGGCGGCCAGTGTCCCACAGTGCGTTCCAGTTCGGGATGAAAGTTGCTCTTTCCTTTGAGCCTTCGTGGATTTTCACTTGGGCCCTTGTTTCGTCGCGTTTTGCTCATCGATGTTCCGCACCCTCCTTCCTTCCTTCGAGAGGCTTGAAGGAGGTGATTGTCCTGCGGTCAATGCGGTCGAGATCGCAGTCCTCGCGCCTCCAAGTGTGTGCCTCCAGCTCGGTTCGCCTCCAAAGCATGACAGTGACCAGAAATGGCGATCTGGAAGATTGGGATCATGATTGGATCCAACGTCGACTACATCTTCCCATCCTTTTTGCCTTACAATGCTACCTGATACGCTTATATTCCTGCATCGGCATTATAATTTAGAATTAATCAATCCTCATGTCTCCCGAAAACCGGTTCACATTTCCCATTGGTGGGTAGAGGTGAATCTTGGCAGGGTGTAACTTTCTGACAAAAATGTCTCATGACGCGCGGAGGGCTCATCACGGTCCTGGAGTATCTCTGACAATTATCATTTTCTCCAATTTCAAGAAAAATAAACACCTGGTTTTTGTTCATCAGTTGAAACATGACATTATCTAATTAGAGTTATAATAACTTGAATATATTTAATTGTTCTAATTTTCCTAAGATATTTTAAGCTCAATATATTGATTTCATCAATATATCTTCTGGTGTATTTGAAACGATAATGCGCACGGACCCATGGATACTTTCATTTCATGAGAAAATTTTGTAATTCTATTCTTTCAAAGTAAATTACAATTTCCAGATTTGATTCACCGTAGCAAATAAAGGAAATTACTTCACTAGCACATAAAACTATTGCAATTTGTCTATGCTTTGCAAAATTGTGTGCAAGAAGAAAATTCAGTAATAATCGTTTTGCAGATACAAATCAAACTACCCACCATATGCAACGACAACCAGCCCCAGCGGCCAGGAAAAATATTTTTTAAGTGAAAATTATAATTAAAGGAGTAAGCCCTGCCGTGTACGTTTAGACGGCGAATAGAGAGGGGTGGGTGTATAATCTATCCTCAACGGTTGGAGCTAAAAACAGTGTCGACCAACGAGAACAGGAATTTTTATTATTATTTATCTGAACATAAGAGATAAAGAACAGAAAATAAATACATAAAAATTTCGAAAGCCAAATCTCACCATGTCAACATGACTCACAGCTTGCAGTTTCCGGTATGCTCGTCATATTCGACCGCAAGATAAAAAAGCTCAGAGAGAGGTTGGAGGAAGCTTCTCACATCGGATGATCGCTGGCAAGCATTCAAGCACGCGGTCCCTCGACTGCGCAGTTGTCGAGGAAGTGGTCGCCGCTCGGTCGCCCGCCTCACGCTGTGCCCTCCACATCATCTCCCCAGACTCCCCTCCATACCGCCGAGGAGCCCAGATCAGAGACTCCACGCTTCGAGTGTACGTGCCTTCGACATCTTTCTTAACGGATGATGAACACAATGAGATAGAACCTCTCTTTGTAAATGATTTATAGATAAATGATATATTAAATCACATATGATTGATCCAAATGAAATGAATATCCAATCGATTCATACAACATTATTAATATTATCCAACATCAAATAACAGATGCACTCAAGACATGCAGTATATTCCTCCGATACCTATGATTAGAAGTCCCCAAGAGGCCCTGTACAGGGCCCCGAAGGGATGTAAGTCGTGACGATAACACATGGGTAACAGTATAGTTCAAACATATTTTATTTCCACTTAAATTTGAATGGAAACCAGTTTTTGATACTATGTTGATTTATTTTTCGTAATCTTAGCAGCATTACAAAGCCAGTCAGTATTCTCATAGAGATATCACGTTTATTTAAAAGAAGCAATTTCGTACAGATGTCCATTTATTTGTTTTTGTATTATGCTTCCAAGGTGTAAGCTTATGATACTGACCAAATCTTTGCAGACGCTTGTCAAGAATCATGCTTCAAGGGTATTACTAATAAACAAGTTTGCACACTGAAAAAAAATCCACCATAATATCTCCATGTCTCTGCGTGTATCAACAAAAAACACCAACCGCACTGCTAGTGACATAGCCACACACATCATAGTGATCAAATTGGACTGTCTTTGCGCCAACAACACTCTGTTTCCAAACTGCTGATAGATCGAATATCAAAAGTCCATGTGTGCTCTCTCCGCAAAACTATTCTTGCAAAACTAGTAAAGTAGCCCTAGGCTGTGCGGTGCCATAATATACACTCCTATTCAAGACACATTCTTTTGCAACTCTTCGAATTTTCTTCACGACGTATGTCACTTGCATTCATTGATTTTGAACATAATTGTTATGAATGATGAGTAGTAAGAATGCATGGTCTGAACACGATGAACCTCCAAATTCATCAAAACTTAAGTTTAGCTCAAGATCAATGCTCAAGACACATTCAATCACAGTTCGGAGTTGCACTCGCACAACAAAGGGCTTAATGAAATGGAAGAGCCATAAACTTAGAAGATCTTCAAGGGGAATCCGAAAGAAGGATCAACCTAATCCTTACACCCAGCTGTTCCATCACACCAGGATTGGTCACTAGCCACATGCTTTGTTTTTCACCTCGGCGTGAGTAGCTTTCCATTTTCGAAGGTATTTTCATGAGTACCAAAGGAAAAGTTCTTAACGTGCGCTTTGTCTTTCTCACGCATGGCTTCACCATCCAAAGATGCAATAGAATATCGTTCCACCCTTCGGAAAAACTTCAGATTTTATTCCCTCCTATTGAATTGAAGGCTAAAGAGCCTTCCGGAGTGTCCATCCTTCTCAAATGCTCACCACCTACCTGCATTAACGCAACTGCAGCGAATTAATGAAATTTTGGGTTCATTCAAAACCCAACCGTGTAATGGGATTATTAAAAACAGACTCAAATATAACCTTCGATATTCTCAAACAGACTAAGATCACCATGCATATGAGCCCAACCTGCACCAATTAATCGGGCCGTCCTACTTTCGACCAAAATCAGAAAGAAAAGCCGATCACGGTCCTCACCTCCTCCCCTAAGACAGATTTAGTTTGTGAAGAATGTTACTCAATGACGTCGATGCAGTTCTGACGTTGACTGGTCTCCAGCTGCACCTTTTCAAGAACATATTCAGCTACACGATAGGGGAATTGAAAACGACACTTCTGACGAAAAGGTAGCTTTTGGATCCCAAGTCCAAAGACATATGTAAGTGCATGCAGAGCACAAACTTACCAGCTATGTTCGTCAACTGCCGATACTTATCCAACGAATGCAAAGCAAAAGAACCAGAGAGAAGCCCAAGAATACAAAGGTAGAATACTGTGCTATTCTCAATGTTCTTCAATATCCCACCCTGCATCACAAGAACCGAAGATTTGCTTCCGTTCAGTATAGGGATCAAGATGTTGCTCACCAGGTCACCGTCCAGATTCAAGGTATGCTAGGACTCACGTACCTCTTCATCGACATTGAGATGTTGCCATGCATTGCAAAAAGCACAAATCTTAATTGTACTGAAATTTGGCTGCCAGATCTCTTTCAAAAGGACATTGTACTGTACATAAGAAGATAACGCAGGGTTCGGATCAAAACCTGTATCAGAATGAACAGCATTCCCATGTGTACTGGTATATGGTAAAGACTCAGCACCCCTGCACGCCTGTCATTCTGGATGTATCTGCATTATAATTGAGCGAAGAAAAAAACAGGATTAAATCAGTTCATGTTGTACTTTTAACATCGAACATAGTTCTTAGAACACCAGGACAAACACACATCGAGAATTGTCAAACCATAGCAAATTTCTGGAACCAATGACAAATCAATACTTACATGCTTCTTAGATACGCCAGAGATGGCAAGGAGATTCCAACACAAATATGGTAGACACAGAAGGCTGTGACCAATACACCAATTTCCTGCAAAAGAAGTTGATAAAATCTAAGTTGGTTAAAAATCCACTAGATTCTGAGGGCACAAATCAATTCGTCATGCTCTCATCTGGAGCACGGTATCAAAATGGAGAGTCGGACTGCTGGAGAACTTTCTACGCAATGAAAAGAAATCAAACTCGACTGCCGTGCAAAAGAGGGACTAATCAGTGAGCCAAGTACCTGATGATCATAAGCAGGCACAAGGAGCGCTAAGCTTGCAGCAACAAAAATCAGAGGTAGAAAACTTTCAGGTCTTAGATTGAAAGGTCCGCAGAGAAGCATAGCTGCAATGGCACTACCGAGCATAAGAGACGCCATCAAGTAAGCGTAGATCATTCCGCTGTGAATATCTCGACCATCAGCCTGCAAAATTACCAGCAACACGGGCTTACTGCACAAAGTCACGAAACATCTTTTACGTGAAATATGAATTGCAAGATAGAGATGAAAGGCAATCACAACTTAAGAACTTGCGATGAGCGACTGAACCTGAGAAAGTACGGACTACTGGTTGAAGATGGCCCATGCCGGGCAACACTCGGATAATATTTAAGACCTATAAGTTGGTGGGATCCATACAATAAAATGGACATCTAACTAACAATTCAGAAGCAAGTGAAGGAACGTGGCGTAACATGACTACTGTTCTTGTAACTTACCACCAAGGTAGGTGTCCAAAGAAACTGGAAAGCAGCCAAACTGATATCGAAGGTTGCTTGGATCCATCCTAGCAACAAAATTCTCCTATCTGATTTCAAGACAGAACAGGTGACGGTTAGTAATCTCTGGTCTGATACGTAGACAAGCAGAAATGGGTATTTTGAGCTGCGTAGAAGACAAAAATATAAACCTGAGTATTCTAGAGATACAATATTCCGACTCCTGATGTTGAAAAACCATCACATGGTCCAAATGGATTATAATTGCTTTAATTATAAGCCAGACCCGAACATTCACACCAATGTGTATTGGGTTCAAGAAAACAAACCGTATTCTTGCACTTCAAAAAGTTTAACATTTTCTTCAGCTGAACCCAATTGATAACTCAAACCAAGTACTGCACTTAAAACTTGGATGTAGATAGAACAAACCTGTCAAAGCTTGACATGCATTCACCAGAGCTTTTGAAAGCTGGGCCGGTTGAGTGCCTACATTCTCCACCCATCCGTTCAATACCAGGAAAACGCATAACGCTGCAATTGCAGCTGCTACGAAAGTAGGTGAAGCGAGTCCGAGGGCAAATCGATCTACCATCAGATTAGCGAAGGCTCCAACACCGATTGCCGCAATACCCATTCCAAGGGCCATCACCCAAAAAGTTCTGCTCAACCATTCTTGCCTGAATCCAAGCTGCATGACAAACATACGCATCAGCAGAACATACGTATCAGATGTGGCCTTTTAGTCCACGACGTGTCAAACTTGTGGTAACGACAAATACACAATTTCTACTTTTACAATTTTGCAAATGTATATGAATTGATGCAGAGAAATAAAGTTAAAAGTCTGACCTAGGCTGAGAAAAACTACCCAAATGAGGTATATAATACAATCTTATTGCAAGGTAATAAGCTGTCAGTATCAACCATTCCAAAACAAAGAGACTTTGATCGTTATCAACATCCAGTGATGACACCGGATATAAAACACGGAATACGTTATTGCAGTGAGCTTTCTATGTTGTATCTCTCATCAACATATAAAGAAAATCGATTGCGAGTACAGCACCTACTAGGAGATGGCTGGAAAAGAGCGGAACATTTTAGTATAACTTTGATATATTGTTTTAGTGTAACTTTGACGTAACTATGATGTATGTTCGAGGCATATTCATAAATTGTATGTTTCAATAGCAAAAGAAAAAAGCAACGAGAGGAACAACATACCCTTTCATGCTCTGCATTCAACCAGGCCTCCAAGGCAGTGGGAAAGAGAGATATCGCGAGTCCTTGACATACGCTTGCCAGACATAGAACATAAAAATTTCTAGATTGTCTGGCCAAGCAGCCAACGAGCTGAAGAAGTCCACAAAAGATGGTTGCCCTTCTCCGTCCTCTGCAAATGAACACGGATTTCAGTGGTCTAAATACAAAATACCTGGAAGAAAACTACAATTTTAGCGTACTCCCTCTATAACAGTCGTAACACTTGCACATATCTAGAACACTCTATAATCTGCGCCATTTTAAAAAAAATGTAGAGGGAAAATATGAACTGCACTTACATACAATCTGCTGCCACTCCCAAAAATGTCCCGAGAAACAGGGAAATTGCATGAACCGTCACGATAAGAATGCCAATCTCACGCCTTGCATAACCATAATGCTCATACACAGCCTCCCCATATACACTCTGCAACCCTTCTGTCACTGCCCTCCAACCCTGTCAGTCCAGGAAGAAGTGACTCACTTAAACACTTCTATCTGACGTATTAGGTTCGATTTTGACGACAAATATTTACCATCAAGAATCCAAATTTCTGCTCAGGACTGATAATATTAGGAAAAAATGATAAGAATCTGATGAGAATGATAAGAGACACTCTCAAACTGATAAAAGGATATATCAACAACCTGATCGCCGAGACATTTACTGGGTTAAAAGACTTACATGTAAATAGAAAGAAAACGCCTAAAAATCTCCGCTGGAAATCCACAAATGCCGGAGGCGAATGCCAGAAATACTTTTCGGTAGGTTTTGCTTTCGTAGCCAGGGAAGATTGTCCGTACAAAAGGAGAGCGCATGATCCCAGGAGAAATGCGTAGAGCCATTTTGGCCCTTCCCAAGCCATGTCTTGCGTCATGCTGCCAAACCTTTGGAAACGTTGGATAAGAAGAGTTGTTGAAAATCTTTAGTGAACTTTGCTATGGACTTCGTTCTGTCATAGCAATGATGACGGGATGCCGCATCGAAACAAAGTTCTTCAAGGATCCACGAGATAAAAGCGCCAAGCTTCTCGGGTCATTAGGCTGAAAAAGATCCAGAGAGCTTCGTTACACATGAAAAAATGAAACTGGGCAGTCTTCATAGACTGCGATGTTGTTTCCATTCCTTCTAGCTGAACTCACTTTCCCGTTGATTAATTCGAAGTAAAAATTTATTTATACATATTGATAAGGTAGTGGATTTTAAGTCCAAAGATGACATATTTTAGGCCAAATCAAATTTTAATCTTGATTTTGCCTCCTTTGGAATCAAGATCAGAACCAAAACAGCTGCAAAGATAACTTTACCACATAAGTTCATGTCTTGACAACACTACTTTCATAACCAGATTGCTTCAGGAACTGAACCGTCACTCATCAAGTATTCTTTGTAAAAAGATCGACCATTAGGTCTATTTAAGTTTTGGAACCTAGGCTAAACGTACAAAAGAAATAGAAATCGTGGATGTTGCCCACAAAGTCAAGTGAAAAACATTTTCCATTTCAAAAAGCATATTCCTACACATCTACAACTTCTTTTCACTTCGATAGCCATCAAAATCTTGCAGACAGACAGAATGCGACTTCGGGACTTCCCCCACCACAAAATCCCGATTCGAAATGACATAATGTGGGCCATGTGGTCATTCGTGACAGTTCATGTCCTGGTTTAGCGAATGGACTGCACCAACGATCGGAACTAAACTCTTAAATTTTCCCCGTCACAAACTAAACGGATTGATCGATATATCAGTCTACGAAAGCAATCCAGAAACTTAAAAAACATCATAAAGCGGAGCCAACCCAAAAGCATTGCACCTGCTCTTTCTGCTACCTCATATTATCCACTTCCGTGTGCAATATTGAGACAAAAAGCAATCCAAAGATCAGAAACAAAAACATTCAAACCGACGGGACGTTCTTACAGACTGTAAACAAAAGGTTGCTCCAAAGTGATAGCATGCCAGGAAATTATATCGACTAATTTCGCACAGGACTATCGCATTCTTAGCATCATATCTCGTCTCAATGACAAACTTTTTGGCTCGAAACTGAAGATAAAAAAAACTTTCGACCTCTGCATTGGACGAATGTCCAAAAACCACCAGTTTCGACTGTTCCCAACAATCACCGGAACTAAATTTGTCTCACCTCGGCAGATCCAAAGAGAACAGTATTGCAGAGATGACACCCACCAAATCTTGCCAATCGAGGAGACGAGCGAGCGAACCGAGCTCCAGAGACACCATGACCTGCGCCGAAGCCCCGAGCCTTCTACTCTCCAACATGGAGCATGATCGATCTGCCACCGGCTGCGTCACGGCACTGGAGTTCAAACGGAGTGCACGAAACTTTCATCTGCACGCGGCTCCGACGAAAAGAATTCCCAAGCCGAGCCTCGCCGGTTCGGTCCTAGGCTCGGCGGACGAGCATCACGCCGTGCTTTCCACTTCGAGTTCTCGCTCCAGTCGCCATTATTTCCGTATGCCCCGCGAACTCGACCCTATACGATACTCCCCTTGCATTCAAGAACGACATTTCTACTGTCCATACGGTCGTACAGTTGCTGGAATGTAATGGCGAACTCGCTCATGCCGCCGCAATGTTCGTTTAAGTTCAATTGTATGAAGCGAGATCTTTTCCTGCTGTTCTGAATTTTTGTTCGACCTTCGTGATAAGATAAGATTACAATGCCTTTCCAATTAACAACCTGCTACGGAAGTAATTTATGCGTTTGATATTCTTTAATAATGTACTTTGAGATCAAATTATTTAGCATGAACAGTAGGCCAAGCATGGAGACAAACACTGGTTTTGGAGTGACCACAATCCATTACAGTACTTACTTGTCTCTTACTGAACTCCCAAACCTCGTGTTAGCATGTCGACAATGGATGATTTGTACTTCAACTCTGAAGGTAGCTCATGTATCAAAGCCAAAAAAAGTTGTGACGCACTTTAAGGGCGATTACTTTTTATAAAATAACTTGGAGTCAATTGTAAGTGGATGAATCATAATTGTGAATTCGTCACACCATATGTTTGTAAGATTGTGATACGTTTTTGCTAGCAAATGTATCAGTTGGAGTTTTGAATGTTGTTTGCCACAAAGTCCGTCTCAAAAAACTGGATGTGACCTCTTATCTGGGAAAAAATATCATGATGAGTTTTGAAAAAAGAGATATTATTGAAGTCATCCTCAAGTTCAGCATTCTAGAGATATTATAGAATTATATCTCCTCGAGATATTTATGTTGACACCCTTTCCTGTCGTTAAAAGAAGGAAGAAATCTTTAGAGGATTTGATTTTATGCAAAATATTGTGTATCATCATATTTTAATTATATGTAAGAGTCTAATCATCTGAAGAAAAAATTCAAGGAAAGACGTCGTTAATGATGGCATTATATGAATGTGCTAGTGCTAGTGAAGCTAGTGCTAAAAACTCCAAAACTGTTTTGATTGATTGATCAAAATGCTTCTATACAAGATATCTTTGTTCGTTGATAGTGAAATCCCTATGATGAAAATATTTGTAGTGAATGTAAAAACCTTGTATACATATTTATATATAACAGACGTGTATGCAGTAGAAATAATAAGCTATTGGTTAAAATTTATTGAAATTTCTTAATATTTAAAAAGTATACAACCTCTAATCTATCAACTCTACATGCATCAATTGTACACCTTTGTTGCAACAAGAGAAGAAAAACTGGATCAACAAATATAAAGTTGAATTGAAACACTCAAAGTTACATTGTGTGACTATGAAATGAATCAGCTACGTGTTTAAGTTACATTGTGTGACTCAAGTGTAACAATTTATACGATGATTAAAACAATTTAGATAAATTCAAATTTTATTTCATCGAATAGACTCGCGCATACAAGTAAAAGTATTAGTCTTTGATACTGGTTATTAAAAACTTTACGTTACAAACTTTGCATATGAAGTTATGTAGTATGTGTTTGACATATTGTAAGCTTAGGATTAATTCTGGTTAATTCTTGTAAAGAAAAACTTCAATTTTGATTGAAACTTTTGTTCTGAGTTAACTCAAATGTTAAATAAATCTAGTTAGCGTAATCATGTTCAGTCAGACCATTTAGCATGCCATCGTATAAGAGAGATGATCGCAGCTCTCTTAAACGATGACATATACTTCAGGTTTTTCAATAAAGTATTGGTTTTCCCTTGGAAAAGAAAAACCAAGTATTTTTTCTGTTGGCCACGTGCTTAGTGTATGTTTGCACTATAAGTGTTAAACGGTAAAATGGTAAAAATATATTGTTGAAGGCCTGCAATATATAGATCTCATGAATATTGATTTCTTGTCTATACAAGAGTTATGTGAGAGTTTGCGTTATATAAACGTGTTTTGTTAACCATGATTAGCTCATACTTGAGTCAGTTATATAGTCATCATGCTAAAATATGTTTTGACAGACTTGTTTCCTAGAGAAGTAGAGTCATCAGTCTCACTGTGAATACCTTGAGAAGATCGAATCTTAAAATGAATCCCTAATCTTCATCTCTATTAATTTAGAGTGTAATATATGATGTGCAATATCATCTTCTATCGATATGCAACTTTCGACCTTCCTTTGGGTCGGACTGCATGCAGTGCGCACGGAAGTCTACAAATTGCTCTTTGAATTTATGGGATACGTTATCTTATGCATTTGAGTTTTTAATTTTTTATTCAATTCTTTATTTGCCTGAATGGTTGCCGACTCATCCCTTCATATCAAGAGCCGTTGAGGAAATGGAGAATTTGTGGTCACAGAGAGTCACAGACAGGCGAGTGGAAGGATGTCGGTAAAGCTATATAAGCGGTGAAGACGTTGGTCGTTGATTTTCGCACGGGATGTTCAATGGCATGTTTCCTCAGCCTTCAAGTCGAAATTTCAGATACGGACGTTTTGTCACACAGTGACTAAAAAGAGTACACGCCATGAAACCTGACTTGTCCTTCTGTTCACGGAAATAGAGAGAAACATATCCAGAGAACTTGTCAAGCAAAACATATCCAGAGAACTTGTCCTTCTGTTCACGGAAATAGAGAGAAACATATCCAGAGAACTTGTCAAGCAAAACTGCATCGGCCGGGAATCGAACCCGGGTCTGTTCCGTGGCAGGGAACTATTCTACCCCTAGACCACCGATGCTGATTAATAAGAGCGAATTTAATGTTTTATCAAAACACAGTTTTTCAAAGTATAGTAGACCCAATATTGGCTTTACACATGTCCACCGTGCGTGTAAGACAAATAGGGCCAAGCAGTAGGAGAACGACTCTTCGTTCAGGGGGAACGAGAAGTTTCTTGGGTCTTCGGTTTCATTGGCGCTGAGCTTTTAAGTTTCTTGGGTCTTGGCTCAGATCGGCGCAACAATTTCTGTTTCTGAAGTGCACAAGGCGAGCACTTAGAGTTCGCCTTGTGTGTGTGCAGCTTGTACATTCTCCAATGGCCGCTGCTGTGGGCCATTGGAGGACCCAACTTGTTTCTAGTTTCTACCACAAGAAAAGGTGGATATGCAAGAAAGTTTTTTTCCGATTTTCTATCCAACCTGGGTTATGAGAGTTAAGTCACAGCTGTGCACATCAAAAACATAATTTGCATTGCTCTTTCAGTTGACGTGACAATGTTTTCTTGGAAAAATCTATGAGTGTGATGAAGGAAAATATCTGATTATTTAGAATCATGAGAACAATTTTCAACATTTTCAACATTCTAACTATCTCATAGCTCAACTGGCACGGTTGCCGAACACTCTGCAGCCGTGACGGTTGGATTATGAAACAGTTATAACTTTGCTGTGTAATCTTTTCGTTTTATCTCAAAACAATCATCTTTCTTCCAAAAGTTTTAAATAGTTTACTTAAATACATTGCCTTTTGAAGAGTAGCGATTCAATGTTTAATTTTTTTCCCGATCTGTATTGCTTTAGATATAAATTTGAATCTCAGGTGGTGAAATCTTAGACTGGTTCCGATTTCACAATTTTTCTTGTGGAGAGAATAGTTTGCTTGGATACTGACGGCCTACAACAACAGAGAAAGCACTTCGAGGTAAGATGAGGCCTTGTGCTCTTCCAGCATGTAAATTCCTAAGAGAGAAATGCAAGACGGAGTTTGTATTCGCCCCTCACTTACCTTCTAATGAGCCCTTGAAATTTTCCAAGTTTCATAGAATCTTCGGGGCCAGCAATGTTGCGGGCATTGCCGGAGCCGAGGCCATTAGGCCATGACCTCGTTGGTTTTCAAGGCCAACGCAAGAAAAAACGAACCGGTTTCCGGGTGCTCGAGATATCTCTTTAGGGAGCTTCAGAAAGAGGTGAAAGTTCATTTAAATGAAATAAACACGAGGACATCAGGGACATCAGCCTGCCTCGTGTAATATGATTGTTCTCGCCGCCCGCTCAAAGTCGGACGCAGAGAGCAAGGTGTGTGGCACTTATTACCTACAGTAGCCAATTTGTAGATACTAGTGACTGTGGAGTACTCAAGCTTTGCAATCTGAGTTGTCCATAATAAGTCTCTTGGAACTTGAGTTCCCATTGGAGTTGTGCCCGACGTTGAGGCCACTCAGAAGGGAGTTCTGTACATGCACGCGGTGATGTTGGCCTTTGCTTTAGCGCTTTTTGGCCTTATTATTGGATGGTTCTTGCTCGTAAGTAATCGGCCTGATAAAGTTGCAGTCCGTGTAAGCAAACTTGTTGTGATACAATTTTTGGTAGATTCATTTGTGATTATTCTGGTTGCCATGTTATGCATGCATGCATTCATGCTTGGCGACGGCTGTCTCTCCGACTCCCGGAACAACGATATTTTTGTTCTTTCAGCTTAGCGACGGTTGAGTGTGAACACCTGCAATTACGTCACACTGGTGGTATTTCTGTTGTGAGATACATACAGCATGCTATATTGAAGAGATAGCAACATTAAATAGTTGCTCACGGTAACATGCGGAGTGAAATGATGCACTCGACCCAAAACCTACGGATTAGATTAACATCATGAACTAATCAAAACAATAAGGCGAGCATACTAAACCTAATGCTAATGTTATGATGCACTCGACCCCAAACCTACGGATTAGATTAACATCATGAACTAATCAAAACAATAACGCGAGCATCCTAAACCTAATGCTAATGTTAGCCTCGTTAGACACTAAAAGCATGTTACAACATCCCCTCTAGAGTCTAACATTAGCATTAGGTTTAGGATGCTCACCTTATCGTTTCAATAAGTCCATGATGTTAATCCAAGCCGTACATTTTAGTTCGAGTGCATCATTACATTCCGCATGTTACTGTGAGCA